ACTGGAAGGGCACCTGCGGAGGTGGGGTCCTTCAGCCTGGTCTGTGGGGATCCAGCTGAAACCAGCAGTCTGACAACTTCTGAGGGGTCCTGGAATGTAAGAGGGCACTCTGCAAAGTTGCTGTCACTCTGCAGTTTCTGTATTGATCATCTGTCCCCTGGTGGTCAGTCAGTGTGTGTCATACCTACTGTCTTGTAGGCTAGTTGGCTGGTTGACAGGTCGCTTAACCTTTTATATCTATAGATATATTTTTATTGATTTTATAGAGGGAGAGAGAGAGATAGAAACATCAAGGATGAGAGAGAATTATTGATTGGCTGCCTCCTTCACATCCAGCCAAGCCCACAACCTAGGCATGCGCCCTGACTGGGAATTGAACCAAGTTCACAGGCTGATGCCCAACCGCTGAGCCATCCCAAAAAGGCAATCTCCTTGTTTCTTGAGCTTTGTGTGCAGCTTGCACTGCTGGAGAAGAGCTTGCCGGAGCCATGAAGCTGCCATGCCAACCTTCTCAGCTCTCTCCATTGCTTTGAAACAATGCAGGACTTTTGAGGGGCACTTTTTGACATGTTTTGGAAAAGGTATTTTGGTCAGTGCGTATACAAGGCAACTTTTTAAAAATTATTATTCATTCAAGTATTTAGTGAGCAGCTAAGGAGATACAAAGGTGATTAAAACATGGCTTAAGAAATGAGGGAAACACAAGGGGAAGTAGAAAACAAAGTATCGGTTCCCTGAGTCACAGCATCAAAAGAAAAAGCTGTAAGCTTTTTTGAAAAGTTAAAATTTTTTGACAAATTAAAATTTATGACTAGTAGTAATAACAGCAACAATTAGTGACTTTTTAATCCTGCCAGTGTCTTTAGGACGTGTGGATGAAAAAGAGGCTCTATGGAGAGCAGCCTCACAGAATGATCTGATCATAAATTCCTAACTGGGCACGTCGGAGTGGGTAGTCACGTCCCAGGCCTATAACTTTTAGTGGAAGGTTTATATTTGCCTTAAGTAAGCTCTGTCCATTGTTTCTGTGCATCTATTATAGGTTAGCAAACTTCTCAAACGCCTCTTTTTCAGACCCCTCCTCTAAAGCATGACCACCCTTAAGAGTACACAGAATCTTAATCCTATCTCTGCTTTGCTCTCTTCCACCTTCACATAATCATTTTTAGGTTCCCTCCCTCATTCCAAATGCTTAAAGAAGCTGCAAACTGTCACATTTATCTACTGAGATAAACACCTCTCCTCTGTAAGTCACTCAGCATGGGTCCATGGAGCCACATTATTAGGGCAGGGGGTAGCTCTTAATTTTTCCCCTGCCTCAACTTTTTGGAGGGCTAGATGGTTCTGATTGTTCTCCATCGCCCTCCCCACTCCCTGCCCATATTTTTTATCACTGGTCTTGAGGTTCAGTCCTTTGCCCAACACATACGTTTATCAGTTGACTCTACACTTATGCTCACCCTATTCATGGCCACGGGATTACACGAGGAATGCAATGGAGAACAACAAAACTAAAGGTGGATGTTTATCAGGAGCACCAGGGCTAATGATTCTCTAGCTGATGTTGAAATTCAAAAACCAACCAAGGAGTTTCATAGAAAACTAACAGTGTTTAATAACCAACGTGGCATCCAGCTTTGGACCAAACTGAAGGCTTCTCATGTAGGAAGTTGTCTCTTTCTCCCCAACTAGAAGTCTGACTCCCAAACATCACATCTACATCTTGGGAGATTCCTCTGCATCCCCACTGACCATGTTGAGCAGCCACAAGACCTTCCTGGAGGGTGGTGATAGTCTGAGCACTCAGCATTCCAAAGTTCAGTGGACGTAAGGAGCAAGGAAGTGGTAGCAAAAGTCAGACAAAAGTGGGATGCACTTTTTAATTTTATTTTAAGCTAGTACCATGGTGTTTTGATTACTATGGCCTTGTAATACAGTTTTATATCAGTGGGATGCATTTTTAAAAGGAATGATGCCAATCCTTGTAAAGCAAGACCCAGAGTGAGGAAGGCAAGTCTCCAAATACTGATAGGAAGATCAAGTCAAGGGCCGGTCCTAAAATGTGAAAATGTTTTGATTGTTTCAAAGTCTCTCAATCTTTGTTTAAAATGGAAAAATCATTACATTTATTATTTTTGGTTTAAGTATAGTTTCTGTAAAATATTATATTAGTTATATTAGTTTCAGGTGTACAATACAGTGATTGGACTTTTGTATACCTTACAATGTGATCAGCCCACTAATTCCAGTAATCACCTGTTATTGTGTAAATTTATCACAATAGGGCAACCATCCCTTTAGTCTCTGTTTCTATGAGTCTGTTTTTATTTTGTTTTGTTTGTTTGATTGATTACACAACAGTAAAAAAAAAAAAAAAAAAAAAAAAAAAAAAGTGAAATCTTGCCATTTGCAACAATATAGATGGACCCCGCGGGTGTTATGCTGAGACATAAGTATAAGTTAGACAGAGAAACAAATACTGTATGGTTTCACTTATACATGGAGTCTAAAAACCAAAGACTTTCAGTTTTACTTGACCCCCATTACATTGATATCTACTGCATTTTTAGTGGTGATTGTAGCTGCCAGACCAACAAGGTGTATCTGCATTCCGTTTTCTTTATTTCCTGTAGATTTAGCAGTGATAACCATCAGCCCACTTTGCTGATGTGTCTTGTATTTAACAAGACTAACAAAATGAGAAACCCAGGAGTTCCTCCTCCCCGTTCCATTTATCTTTAGCTTAGTTAACATTTAACCAGATTACCATTATGATTGGAAAGAAAGACTTCCGGGCAAACCTTCTTTTCTTCCTTTATTGTTTTAAACTCACAGCTTGATCTCTCTTAATTTCTAGAAAATTCACATTTTTCTAGAATGGCATCATTTTACTGTTATCATGTGCCTAATTTCTTCTTCTCCCGGTGGACTCCAGGGTGGCCTTTACTGCATGCTCTATATCTTCTGTTAGGACGCAACCGTGGAGTGATTTGAGAGGTGAAACTCATAAATCAAGCTGACCTATGCTACCAGGGCACTGTGTTGTGAGTCAGTACACACACACAAGAATTGCATGCACGGGCTCAGGGATGACCTAATCTGAAACACACAACACACTGTGCACCCTGGCTTCTGCTAATTGTGAGAAATAACATAAACAGAGCCACTTTAAAATCAAATCTGCCATCCCCCCATGAGCTGCCTTACACCTCTTACTCCTCAAACCTTTGGGAATATTAAAACTGGGCAAAGCCACCTTTGGACTAGGCCTAAGCAGCACCGTATCCCAAACAACTGTTAGTTATAACTAGAACTGAAAATTAAAGAAAATCTTTAGAGCGAGTGTCACTATTTAGCTTAGCTGCACCTTTTACTTCTTCCTCCTATTCATGTAAAATAGTTCCCCTTCCCTTTCTCATGACTATCCTTTGCATTCACTTCCTAATGGGGACACTATTTGAGTTTCTACCTGAATTAGTGCTTCCTGCAAAGCCACTGTTTTGGATCGCAAATAAATGCTTATTGCCTTTCACTTTGGTCTTGTAGTTTTAGGCTAACGCTAAGACAGCAGATTTTGAATCTAAAGGCCCTGTTAGGCTTAGGCCAGGGAAGCCCTCTTCGCAGTGAACCATCTTGAGTTAAGGGCCTCTGGGGCCTCAATGGGGTTGGCCTCCTTGCTGACTTTATGTAGAGCCTGGAGTTTGAAAGGGAGCAAAGCTGAGATAGAGAAGTCAGCACTCGAAAATTCAAGTTATCCCACGGAGACAATGAATGTTCCGAAGAAACACTGGTGACACCACGGCTGCATTCTGAGCGGGTCTGCCAGGAGTGAGGCTCCGAAGGGAATTGGCTTGAGCCTGGGTCCCTCAATGCCAGGCTCAGCCCTGCCTCAGGTTGCTTTCTGTGCCTGCTTTGGCCTCATTGCCTCTGAGTCTCAGACTATTATCTGTACAATGTTGAAAACATTCACAAAATAAAAAGGCAGCCTATAAAATGGGAGAAGGTATCTGCAAAACCGTGTACCATATTGAATTACAGGTTGTCTTGAAGGCCAGATAAGATAACCTATGTGAAGTGTCCAGCCCTGAGAGCAATTTGGGGTGTGGTTTGAGAATCTGGAGGGAAGGACATTTGGGGGAGAAGCCCAGGATAGCATCCATGGCATATCTCAGCAAGTCACGAGGGAAGGCAAGGAATGGCAATAGCTTTTAATTTAAATTCCCCTCATCCTCCAATCAAACTTTCCCTAACATGAACCACACGGGGAACTCTGTCCTGCTTTAATCTTTTACTTAATTGTCAGAGATTTTTACCAGCTTTCAGAATTACCTTTAGTCTTCCCATCTCTTTCCACTAGCAAGAAACCCTTATTACGGAGACTGTAACTGTTTGCCATAGATCAGTCAGCGAGGTGTGTGGGACAGGGCTGAGCCCTGCTTGGAAATCAGATAAAAAGAGAAGATCCAGGTACCAAGAGGCACCAGGTTCCAGATGGAGAGAAAACGGACCCTGACCTGAGAGAAGTTTGGAAAGCAGCTCTCCCGAATTCACAGGAACTGTGGACCATCGGTCAGGAGGCAAACGCACTGCACCATCTGGGGTTTCATGGTTAAATAATCCTCTTTCAGAGCCCTCTGGCAGATGCAGGAATGGAAGCCCTCAGGCAGGTAGCTACAGAAAGCCGCGGATAGGGAGGCACTGAGATTTTTGAGAACTTAGAGGTTGGAGGCTGTTGGGCTTTTCGTATAAATGATGCCCTAATGTAGGAAAGGGCCATTGCCTTCTGGCTCCTGGTCACCTCTCGAACCTTCTCTCTCTCTTAACTCCAGCCACAGAGGCCTCGTTTGGGGTCTTCTGAAAAGGACAGCTAACTCTTTTTTTTCTGCCGGGCTGCAACGGAGGCGCGCAGGTGAATTGTCACCTGAGGCCGCCAGCGCGGCGCTGGGCGGGGCGAGGGCGGGGGAGGAGGAAAAGGAGGGGAGGAGGGGTCACTGGGGGAGCCGGCGGGGAGGAGGAGTCTGCAAACTTTCAGTTCGAGGGCATTGTGGGAAGCAGCCATGGTCTGAGGCAGATAGATGCCTCACCTGTCAGCCGCGCGGGCTCCTGCACTTGGCTCTCGCCGCTCGGCGCTCGGCAGGCTGGGGCGGAGGCGGCCGGGGCACCATGGTGAGTGCCCGAGATCGGGGCGGCGCTGGCCCGGGACGGAGCGCTCTGGCTCTCGGGAGGCACCTGCGGAGCCTGTCCGTGAGGCAGGCTGCCCCGCCGGGTCCTGCCGGAGTCCCCCGGCCCGCGGGTGTCGCCGCCGGGGCACCGGGGACACCAGCCCGGGACTCCCGCGGCCACCTGGCGCCGCCGCTTCATTCATTCAGCCAGCGTTTGCTGAGCACTTAGGCTGTGCCAGGCGCCGTGCCAGGCGCGGGGGAGATCGCGGAGGATCGGTGGAGACCTAGCTCTCTGGGCTCAAGTTCTAAGAGCGAGGGAGGTGTGGCCGGAGGGGGACTTGTAATACATGGGTAACATGCAGAGAGTGAGCGCTCTGTCTTCTCAAGCCCAGGGAGACCACGGAGGGGTGCAGAGGCTGGACTGCAGAGTGGGCGGGCGTGCGAGGAAGGCCTCTGGGAGGAGGCAGTGACCTCTGAGGTCCGGAGGAGCCTGCGGTGGTGGGAGCAGGCAGAGGAAAGGCCACCCAGAGAGGCCGGGCGTTATAACTCCAAGTTAAGGACTTCGGTTTTTATGCCATCTGAGTGGGGAATCCTTGGAAGCATATTAGTAGGAATACTGACCTTATCTCTTCTATATATTTGTTTTATTGATTGATTAAGGTATTACATGTGTCCTTATCTCCCCTTTTGCCCCTACTCCCACCCCCCAACTCCATCCACTATGCCCTCACCCCCCTGGTGTCTGTGTGCATTGGTTAGGCTTATATGCATGTATACAAGTCCTTTGGTTGATCTTCGCGCTACCCCCACCCTCCCCGACTTTCCCTCTGAGGAGGTTTGACGGTCTGATCAATGCGTCTCTGTCTCTGGATTTGTTTTTGTCCATCAGTTTTTGGTGGCTGGTGGTTAGAGGTGCGTGTGTGTGTGTGTGTGTGTGTGTGTGTGTGTAGGTGTATCGCAGTGAAAACAGGAAGACCAGTTGCAGTGCTGCAGGACACAGGTCCGTGGATGCACTTGGGTGGAAGCAACAGCTTCAGGCACCTCTTGCTCTTGCCTTCTGTCCACGTAGCATTTTGAGAGTGCAGTGGCCTGAGCTGCACCAGACCCACTTCATCTGGTGACCTCACTCCCAAACCTCGGGAAGAGTGATCTGCCAGCCCCTGGTGCTCTCTGCTCAGGTGGCCCACTGCAGGCAGGTCAGGAGGACATGTAGGTTCAGACAGCTGATGGACAAGGAGAGCAGAGCTCCTGGACAGGAAGACCCAGGGGCCAGTTCCTAGGGGGGCTTTGGCTGCACAGACTAGAGGCAGGCAGAGGCACCGCTGCTCGTTTGCTGAGGGTTCCTGGTAAATACAGTGAGATGCAAAAAGGAGGCTGTAAATAATGGAGCAGCTCTCTGGGCTTGCTCAGGTTTCCCAAGGAACAAGGTGACCATGAGCAGTGCAGCCCGCCAGCGTCATTCGCCTGCTGGAGGTGGAAGGAGGCCGTGGAGTTCCTGAGTAGCTCAAGACGGCTTCCAGCCAGGGACTGCGGCAGGGTCAGGCTCCATGCTCTAGCACCTGCTGTGGAGATTTAATTCTCTTGCTGGTGAAAATTGTGGTCAGTTGATCAGACATGTGCAGAGTTTCCCTGGTTTCCCACTAGATATTGCCCAGCAGGAAATATAAATGTCTTGGGCACTTGTGATGGGCCAAGTGGCATGCACAACCCTTGCATGTATGATCTCGATCCTTGCAACAACCAGCTGAGAATAATTGGTATGCTCTTTGCCTTTTACCTGTTCTAGCAATGTGTCCTTGGATAAGCCCTTGACCTCTCGATGCTAGTTTGCTCATGGAAATGATATTTGTTCTAAATTTGTAAGGCAGGGGTCCTTAGGAGACCCGAAGACTTTTCAGAAGCCAAACTATGTTCATGATAACATATGATATTATCTGCCATGTCCATGTTCATTCCCATGTGACTGCACACGAAATTCTGTTGAGGCGAATATAACAGTATGACCTGGGGTAGTGCACCAATTGAATGCAGAAGCAGGAGAGTCCACCTGCCTTCTATTGAGCCAGAAATTATGGAGACTTGCCAAAATGTACCAGTGCCACCCTTCTCTTTTTTGCTTTGGAAAATATTGTTATTCTTCATAATAAAAGTTATCTCGGTTAGTGTGTAATAGCTTTATTATTTTTTAAAAATGAACCTGGTTGGGCTGCGGTGGCTTAGTGGTTGAGTATTGACCTATGAACCAGGAGGTCACAGTTTGATTCTTGGTCAAGGCATATGCCAGAATTGCAGGCTCGATCAACGATTGTGCAGGAGAAGGTTGATCAATGATTCTCTCTTATCTTTGATGTTTCTATCCCTTCCTCTCCTTTCCTCTCTGAAATCATTAAAAATATATTTAAAAAAAATAAATGAATCAGTGAATTTCTAAACTTTTTCTTCATTTCAATGTAGAACATATGGCTACAACCTACATAAACAACAATTTGGGTCCTAGCCGGTTTGGCTCAGTGGATAGAGTCTTGGCCTGTGGAACAAAGGGTCCCAGGTTTGATTCCATTCAAGGGCACATTCCTCCCCAGCCTAGGCCTTGGAGGCAACCAGTTGATGTGTTTCTCTCACATTGATGTTCCTCTCTGTCTTTGCCTCTCTCTTCCACTCTCCCTAAAAACCAATGGAAAAATATCCCCGGGTGAGGATTAATAAAATAAAACAACACAACAAAACAAACAAAAAAACCACAACAATTTGGGGGCTGTCTATTTTTAAGAGTGTAAAGGCATCAGAGACAGATGGTGTGGGTTAATGCAGATGAAAATGCATAGAGCAGCTTTGCCTACTATGAGTGCTCAGTGACCATGATGTCTCATCTATTTTTTCTGTCAAATGGTAGGGAATTATCACTGGTCCTCTCTATTGCCCTGCAACACTAGGCTTTTTTGGCGAGGGCCATTTTGTAACCCCTGTCTTTGTCCCGCTCTGTTCCTGGCTCTTGCCAACTCTTACTCTAGGAAACTGGCCAGTGCTTGGAATGTGCACACAGGAAAAGGTTCTGGGTTCCACTGTGCGGGTGGCCCAGGTTTCAAGCACAGAGATGTCACACCTCACGCATCTTGGAGGTGTGCTTGTGTTTGAATCATACCTTATGAATCGGCTTTGTACTTCTGCACCCTGCCTTTGTTTTAGAAATCTCTGCCTTGGAAAACAATGCCAGGGTTATTGTGTTTCAGGGGCCGGGAGCCCAGTGCACATAAACATCTTACTGGGAAGAATTTGCTACTGAATGGTTAAAATGTTGATAGAAGGATGTTATCTTTAAATATATTTCTTATTGATTTCAGAGAGGAAGGAAGTGGGAGAGAGTGATAGAAAGATCAATGATGAGAGAGAACCATTGATCAGCTGCCTTCTGCATGTCCCCCACTGGGAATTGAGCCTGCAACTTGGGATGTGCCCTGACCAGGAATCGAACTGTGGCCTCTTATGGTGATCACATCATAAGGTATATAAATGCTCAACCGCTGACCATGCCGGCAGGATGACGGAAGGATTTTTTAATTTGTTTCTTTATTTTTCTCCCCCGTATGAAGATAGCAGTGAAGATTTATAGGGTGGATTTTAAAAGGCTTTGGGGACACCGTAAATAAAAATGCAAGCAGCCACTTTGAAAACCATGTGTGAGCAAAACAGGGGAGTTGCCCAGTGAAAGAACCTCAAATGGAAAAGCCCTTTTGAAATATGAGTAATAATCTTCTTGGGTTGCAGATTCAGTTCTCATAATGTATGTTATTTATCTAGACTGAGACAGACGTCAACAATTTCTTGCTGTGATTTTGTCTTCTTTAGAGAGACCTTCCCAAGCTGAACTGTGACGCCATTTCTTTCCCAGAATGCATGTAGGTTTGACGCAGCATGAGTGCACCCTTCTTCTATATCAGATAATTCCGTTTCTCGTGTTCATTGAAGTCTCTTTACATTACATAGACATAGGCAAAGTGAAAAGGAATTGGGGAGGGTGAGGGAGGAGAACCCCAACTATGAGCCTGTAGATCCTGTCATGTGCCCCCTCCCCACCCAGCATATTAATTTTATTGTCTGTGGCATAAGTGAGTTGTCATCAAGATGTAGCTCTTTGGGCGGTTTAAATTCCAGTCGGAGGGCGAAGCCCTAGTCTATTGCTGTAATGAGCGCTTTCCTCCCCTGGAGGCCCGGTCTGGGCTGCTGGCCAGCGGTTGGTGTGGGGGACAGGGGCTTTAGGGAGGGAAATGACCCTTTGTGGTGCTCAGTTGTCCCAAGAGGGTTCACCCACTTCCCTTCCCACAGATCTCCCAACAGCACCAGGGAAACTTGTATTTGCCTCTCGCCAGGACTGTTACTTCTGGGTTCCTATTACTGGTTTTTATGACAAATACCGACAAGAGCTTATGATTTTTATGTGGCATTTTACTAGCAGCAGCTGGAAGAGAACGGCCCGCAGACTGTGTGTTTGCCACACTATATCGTCAATGCTTGTCCCGTTGGGTCCCATGAATTATTTCATTATGGACAGACAGATAATAAAGTTATCCTTTCCCTTCTCACACCAATAAAGCCCCTTTAAGAGTCATGCATTGCTTGCCATCTCTCTGAATCCTTCGTTTAGAAGCATCATCATAGTTCATTATAGTTGGCATACAATATTATACTAGTTTGAGGTGCACAACATAGAGATTTGACATTTATATACCTTATGATGTGATCACCACAGTAAGTCTAGTAACCGTGTGTCCCCAAACAAAGTTACGATGTTATTGGCTCTATTTCCTGTGCTGTACATTGCATCCCCATACAAAATTATTTATTTTATAACTGGAAGTTTGTACCTCTTATTCCCTTCACCCTTTTCACCCAATCCCCACCCTCTTCTTCTCTGGCAAGCATCTATTTGTTCCCTGTATTTATGAGTTTCAAACAAAACAGAACAGAAACAAACTCCTTCCCCTTTTTTGTTGTTACTGCATCCGG